CACCACTTTAGGAAGGGTGAAGGGGGAACTGTGGGGCGGCGATGCGTGCGTGAGATGCAGTGTAGTCAGAAGGACAGTATTCAAACTCAGCCAATTAGTGGGTTTTTTTTGGGGGGGGGGGGGGGCAAGCATTTCAATTTTCCCCTCGCGTTTTGGGAAAAGACGGATCACAAGAATGACTCGACCGATTGCACTTCAGAAAAAAAAAAGCAGGCCTTTGTTTTCCAGACCTTTGGGGTGGCATCAGCTCCTAATTCCAGTGCGTTGCTTTATTTAGATGTTTCTTTTTATAGAGGTGTGCTTAAAGCGCAGAATGGCCCGTTGTCCCCTCAGGAACTCGGGTCAGCAGCTCAGAAGACAATTTGGGATGGAAGCTTGATTTCATTAGCTAATTCAATTGACAGTATGCTGCGCATGCCAGATAGTTGAGGCTCAGGAATGACGGGCATTTATTTTTTTTTGGGGGGGGGGGGCGGATTAACTTGGAAGAAAAAGAAGTTTCAGTCGAATGTATTTGCCATGGCTCAAGATTGTTTTGTTCCAAATCAGTTTCCCATATGGAGCAAAATATTCCGTTTCTTCTTTTTTTGTTTGTTTGTTTGTTTGTTAAGTGGCTATTTTTAATGTGTCCTCCGCATTCCTCCATGAGTCACTGCGCAGGGCTCCCCGTGTGCCTGCAGCGCCCCCCCCCCCCCACTCATCCGTTCTGGTTCAGACAGTCCAGTTGCCCAGGCCCTCAGCCAGTCCAAATGGGTGGTCGGAACCGGACGCCATGGCCCGACCACACTCAAACGTCCTCATCTTGGGATCATCCGCATTGTTTCGCGCGTGTACCCTCCACCGCGCTCAGTTTGACTTTGCTTTTCTTCTAGCGCCTTTTTGCGTGGGATTACTGCCGTGTGCCTTGTCGTGCAGTACGGGCAGGACACGGTTGAATTGGTGCAGAAACCTCGGTTTGTCCCACGGCCGCCGATGACACGCCGACTGCCCGCCGTGACTTACAGGCTCGACCGCAGATCTTAACGCAACAAACCGCTGCTTGTCCCAAGCGTAGCAAAGACGTTTACTTGTGGTTTTTAGACCTCAAAGTGACAGCCCAGCGTGCCGGGCTGGAAAATGTTCTACTCCCGGTCTTGTTTTTCTATTTATTTTTTTATCTGATTTTTGATTTTTTTTGGGGGGGGGGGGGGGGTGAGTACTCAAATTGTTTCCGTGTCCTTTTTATTCTACTCATAGCCACCGGGGCACTTAGTTTAATCGCATAGGTGGAGGTGATTTTTTTTGTTTGTTTGTTTATTTGCTCGGCATTTTGCCGAGCAGGCAGCATTTGTCACCATCACACCCAAGTTGTGAGCACGCTGCGTTTTCCCGAGACCAGAGAAGGTCAAATGAATTCTTCGAGGCCTCCTCCAGGCTGGATTTCCATGCTTAAGCAGGGCCGTTGCACCCAAGCGTATTCTCACGAGTCCTGCCCATCCTCTCCCCCCCTCTGGAACGGGGGCCGCCTTGTTCCTCCAGGCTCACACAAACACACACTCACCGCAGCAACTTTAGCACATGAAAGACCTCCCGGAGAAGCGAAAGGCATCACGCAACAGCGCTTTGAAGTCTATCAGTCGGCCATCTCACGTCGGCATGTTTTCTCTTCCTCCTCCTTTACAAATCCGATTCATATCGGCCGTCTGGATCTTCATCTTCTATTCCCTTCTCGCCGTGGTCAGTCTGGGAGTCATTTGGCGCTTTTTCACCAGCGCTCCCTCATCCCAGCCAGGCTCAATTTTGCATCAAAGCAGCAAAATAGAGCAGATCTCTTGCTTTTCATTCCCAATGGCAGCCACTGTGCACCGTTACCCAAATCCATGCCCAATGCATGCAAAAGAAATTGCAGCGTTGCCGGTTGTCGGCTACATTGTACAGGCTAGTCAGGGAACGGTGATCCTCCCCCCCGCCCCCC